GAAACTAGACAGAAACAAACTCCTGAAGTTATTTCAGAATACGTCCTGAGGGTTTGTAAATGGCATTAATTCACCGCCTACTCTTCCCCTTGGCAGGCCTTGCTGCCCAGCCCTGACAAAGAGAGACAGAGAGTGAGTTTGGGGCTCACTGCTTCAGGCTCTAGCAGGAGACTGAATTCCCAGGGCATGAACCTCTCCCCAAGGAGCCCTGGTGGTGCAGTGGGTAAGTGCTGGGCTGCTAACTGAAAAGGTCATCCGTTAGATCCCACCAGCCGCTCTGTGGGAGAAAGATATGGCAGTCTGCTTCCGTAAAGATTACAGCCTTGGAAACCCTATGGGGCAGTTGTACCCCATCCTATAGGGTCACTAGGAGTCGGAATCGACTCCGCAGCAACGGGTTTGGTTTGGATTTGGATCCTCTCTTCAGGAGCACTTCCGCTCCAAACCTAGGTCCTCAACTCAAGACTTTCCTGTGAGAAAGCAACACCTTGCCCTGCCTTTCTCCTCTTGGACCGGGTGGGAAACAAAAATGTCTCCCTTCAGGAACTGTTGACTGTCTAAACTTAGCCAAATGATGGTGTTTGGTCCCCGTCAGGGCCCCCCAGGTTTGGATGACGATATGAAGAAAAAACATCTGCAGAAGGGCTACCTCCACAGACAGAACGGTAGAGGTGGACTTGTCCCTAACTCTAGCTGTGGTCCGCACACTTCTATAACTGGCACAATAGTCAAAATTTTAGGCTCCGCGAGGCCGCGTATGATCTTTGTAACACATTTTTCTTTGTTTGTGTTTACAATCTTTTAAAAACGTAAAAATCATTCTCAGAGACCATTAATCAAACCGGCCGTTTGACCCCTAGAGCCATAGTTTGCCTAACTCTCTCGTTTTATATTTTGAGGAAGGTCAGGCCCTGAGAGAGGACCTCTGATTCTTGCCATTTAACAAGCATTTACTGAGACCTTCTATGTGCCAGTCACCAGGTAAGGGGCTGCTATGAGGTGAAAGGACCAGATCTGGTCATCAGAGCTAAGGGTACAGAGGGGTGGAAGACATGAGACAAGTAACCAAGACAGCACCGGAAAGGAGAAGAATGGGGTACTTGGAAAGAAAATAACAGGCAAGGGAGTGCCATTTATGCTTAGTTCTGAAGATAAGTAAAAGTCCCCCAGGTTAATGAAGCGAGGAAAAGCATTCTTGGCAGATTTGGGAAAGCACATATGAAGGGGTAGGAAATTCTAGTGTTTTATTGTAAGTGCCATAGGGTTTTAAGGGAGTACCAAGATCATTCCATTTTCTCTGAGAATATATTGGAGGGAGATAATAAGCTGGAATAGAATAGATTTGAAGGAGGGAGACAAATTGGCAGGCTACTCTAATCATTCAGTTGGAAGTTGATGGTGGCTTGGGCTGGAGTGGTAGTGGGGGCTGGGATATAAGTGAACAGGTTTGAGAAATATTTAGGAGGTTGTTGTTGACTCCTTAGGGCACAAGTGACAGACTAGATAGCAGGAGTAAGAGGATTAGAGGTGTCAAGAATGACTCCATCTGGGGTCTTAAAAGCTTGTGAGTGGCCACCTAAGATACTCCACTGGTCCCACCCCATCTGAAGCAAGGGAGAATGAAGAAAACCAAAGGAACAAGGGTAAGATTAGTCCACAGACTAATGGGCCACAAGTACCACAGCCTCCACCAGACTGAGTCCAGCACAACTAGATGGTGCCCGGCTACTACTAACGACTGCTCTGACAAGGATCACAATAGAGGGTCCTGGACAGAGCTGGAGAAACCCCAAGAGTATGGCCCCAGACACCCTTTTAACTCAGTAATGAAGTCACTCCTGAGGTCTACCTTTCAGCCAAAGATTAGACAGGCCCATAAAACAAAACGAGACTAAATGGGCACACAAGCCCAGGGGCAAGGACGAGAAGGCAGGAGGGGACAGGAAAGCTGGTAATGGGGAGCCCAAAGTCAAGAAGGGGAGACTGTTGACATGTCATGGGGTTGGTAACCAATGTCACAAAACAGTATATGTATTAATTGTTTAATGAGAAACTAATATGTTCTGTAAACCTTCATCTATAAGTACAATTAAAAAAAAAAAATGACTCCAGGTTCCCGGCTTCAGAGGCTGGATGATGGTGCCAATTACCTAGATGGGAAGACCATGGAGGGGGCAGGTTTGGAGAGGGAAGTTCAAGAGTTCAATTTTGAATGTAGTAAGATTTAGACCCTTGTGAAACATCCAAATGGAGAGAAGCAGGGAGATGGATACATGGATTTTGAACTCTGAGATATGATCTGAAGGAAGGTTAAATTTGAGGTTGGTGCCCATCACTACCACTGAGCTGTATGGTACTTGACAGGGCCAGAGTGACACAGAGGAAAGAGCACCAACCTGGGCTGGGCATCGGGGGATCTGGGTTCTAGTCCCAGTTCTGTCCCTAACAACCTGAGCTTCCGAGTTCCAGTTTCACCATCAGTAACACGAGACTGGTCTAGATAAGGCCTTCTTAACCTTTTTTGGATAAGAATTACCTCCTCTGCCCCAAAATGGAACCCTGCTGGCATAGTGGTTAAAAGCTACGGCTGTCAACCAAAAGGTCAGCAGTTCGAATCCACCAGGCGCTCCTTGGAAACTCTATGGGGCAGTTCTACTCTGTCCTATAGGTCGCTATGAGTTGGTTTTGTTTTTTTGGCTCCAAAATGAATACATGGAACATATTATACATGATTTTAAGGGTTCACCCAGTTCCTGGAACCTTTCTGTGGACTCCAAATTAAGAACTCCTGGACTATATGACCAGACAACCAAAGTTTAGGAGACATTCTTGGTATACACTTTAAATATCTGTTGGTCCTTCAGGTGCCCCCAGAGAATATGACAGGTGTTGTCCCCCCAAGAAGTGTCTCTCTACCAAAACATGTGCATTATCATGGAGCTAGCCAATGTATTCAAAGGTCCCAAACTGCTTTTCAAGTTTTATCTTCTTTCACCCTTTCTTCTTGGTGCATGCTCCAGAAAAACTGGACTGTATACACTCTCCTCTTTCTTTTTCTTTTTTCCTCTCCCCTTTCTTGGAATGTTCTTCCTCCATTTCCACATAAGCAAGCTATGCCCATCTTTCAATGCCTCAAATGCCTCTTCTACTTCCCCCACTCCTTCTCCCAAACTAGAAATAATCTCACCCTACTCTGAACATTCACAACACTTTATTTGTATCCCTTTTAAGAGACTTATCACGTTCTCCTTTTATTGTAGCTTATCATGCAGGACTCTTGCTTCCCCTGCTAAAAGGTAGCTGACAGACCTGGCACATGGATAGCAACCCATAAATGTTAGCACTGTTATCCTTTATAAACAGCCTTCTCACACATCCCTTATCCCATCTCGGTGAGCTCTTGATTCCAACCACCACTGCCCAGCTCAGGCATCGGTTGGTTTCTTGCCGAGACAACAGCCCCACCTGACCCCTTAGTGGCAGCCCCTCCACCCTCATCCCTGTGTCCATTCTGCATAATGATATTATTTTCTTTAAAAATCCAATTATGTTACTTCTCTGATTAATATATATGTTTGTGTATATATATATATTATATATATAATATGTATATATTTATATATATATAATATGTATATATATAGACATATATATATACAAATGGTTCCCAATTGCCTTCCTCAGGGGTTCTCAACTTCAGGGTTCCAACACACTGGCTGGATATGGTGTGAAATGTCCCAACTAACTTCTCACTATTAATGAAGTACTAACTGATTTAACAAATCCAGCACATAGTAAGCATTATATACCTATTAGGCATAATTAACACTGAAATTTTATGACTTATAAGGGATGAAGTAGATGCTTTTGGTGCCCTGTAGATGTCCTTGAAGGAACCCTGGTGGCGCAGTGGTTAAGCACTCGGCTGCTGACCAAAAGGTCTGCAGTTTGAACCCACCATGGAGAAAGATGTGGCAGTCTGCTTCTGTAAAGACTACAGCCCTGGAAACCCTATGGGGCAGTTCTACCCCGTCCTGTAGGGTCTATGAGTCGACATTGACGGCAGTGGGTTTTAGTGATCCCTGTGGCTTACTTCTGATTTCAGCTCTAGCTGCGGTGGAAAGTTCTGTGCAAGCTGACAGCTTTCCTGCCCCAGAGCTGCTGCTTCTCACAGCTCACTCAGCCCATGAGCAGGGCAGCCGGGAAGCACAAGGCCATTAATAGGCATTAGTGGGCATTAATTTCCTTCCAATGAACTACTGGACTCTCCTTCCTGCTGGCTATAACCACGACCATGATTCAGGAAGAGAAAGAGATAACAGAAATCTTAAGTACAGCTTGGTCAGGGTCTTGCTCAGCGTCCCATTCCCTGGCATTTTATTAACACCTTCCTGTGGAACCCGGGCTACGTGCCTGAGTCTCCCGACCCGCCTTCTTTCGGCCCACTATCACACGTTAAGAAGTGCAACACCTGAACATCTACTACTTGGAAAGAGTCAATGAGCTGGGTGGAAAAGAAAACAGGGCCGGCAGAGTCATAGGTCACAACGCTAAGGCGGGATGAACTGAGAGCAGGGGCGCCTTGAGACTTGGCCGTTCTTCCGCCCAAGGATCTAAGTGGAGTTGAATCTGCCTTCAGTCGACACTAAATCAAGCACCTCCAGCTACCATCAAGACAGAAGGGCAATCAAGAGGCCGAGACTGCGCAGGCGCAGGGAGAAGGCTAGGGTCCGTAGCAGGCTCACCTCGGGGTCTCTCCCAGACAGAGGCCACAGATAGAGCACAGTAGCGCGGCGCGAGGAGTCCCCTGTGTCCCCCTCTTTCCCCCTGAGGCCCTCAGACCCTCCAGGAAGGTTTGGGAGCCCATCTTCTGAGGCCGTCGGGCCCCCTTCGCTCCCACCCAGCGCCCGGTAGAACCTCGAAAGCGGGTGCCAGCTGCAGGCGAGGTGCTAAGACAAGAACGACCGCTCAGGATCGGCCCTCCTCGCCACCGTTCTCACCTCTTTGTCCGCCGCCTTCTCCTCGATCCCTAGCAGCGCGTACAGGTCCATCTGTAAGAGCTCCTTGGTCACCGCCATGGTTATGACCCTGGCTCCGTTCGTACTACAACTTCCAAGAGTCTAAGCGTGCGTAGAGACTGCCGGGGAACTGCCAGCTCGGACAGGCTGAATGGCGCTTAGCCCCCTGGGAATTGTAGTGTTTTGGGTCTTGCTGGACTGACTCTGAGGGAGATGGGTGGTCGTGAATGAACTACAACTCCCAGCAGTCCCCGCTCTGCTGCGGCCGCTCTCAGGCGCCAGAGGCTTGTGCCGATTCTCGGCTGGAGGCCGTAGCCACTATCCGCGAATGGGCGTGAGGTGCCTGGGGGTGCTGGGTGAGGCTTCGGAGGCCCTGGGCTTGGCCGGCGTGGCCTCAACTTTGCCGACCCCGCCGCGTCGGGAGCCAAGATGGACAGTAGGTGCTACGGCTGCGCAGCCAAATTCACAGTCTTCAAGAAGGAGGCGAGTCTTCTCTCCCCGGGGGCTGGAGGGCCAGGGAGGACGCGGAGTGGAAGGAAAAACACGGGATTTGCAGTCCAAAGACGTGTTTACGGCCTGGTTCAGCCCGTTTCTAGTTGTGTGGTTTTGATGAGGTCACTGAGCCTCAGCTTCCATTTTCGTAAAATGGAACTATTTTACGCATTCGGAGTTGTGAGGGTCCAGTGAGATCTGGAGGTGAAAGTGCCCTGTAAACTGTAAAGCATGCTGCCTTCGTTTTTGGAAAGCTACGCCTTCAGTCGACCAGGTGTATAATCCGGCAGTTTCTCCACCCTGCTTCTCCGCAGCCCGGCCTTATTTAATGAATGCCCTGTGCCCACTCTCCACCATCCATGCCGGTTCCTCTCTTCCCCATCGCACAACCTGCCCTTCCAGGTCTCTTGAGGTAGATTACTGTCCTTCCTTTTGCCCCCAGGGCGCCATGGTAAAGGCATGCAGGGACCTGCCAAGTTCCCCTGGTAACTGTAGGCTTCCTGTGCCTCGGCTATGACCCAGCATCTGTCCAAGAGACAAGAACCAGATGGGATGAATTACGGCACATAGGGAGGCAGGACGGTGTAGCACTCAGCCTGGGTTTTGGAGTCAGGGTGGTCAGGGTTCTGCTGTCCTGTTCACGGGATGACCTTCCTTGGTTTGGGCAAGTCAGGTGACCTTTCTGGCCCCATCTGAGATAGAGACAAGAAATGGTGGTCATCGGAGTGTAATAATGTATGTAAATTGTGAGGATTAAATCAGATGAATGTTTAGTACTGAGCTCAGTGCCTGGCACACAGTAAGTGCTTGATAAATGGAGGTATTGTTATCATCCCATCCCGAACCAAGCTGCCTTCCTACTCAGCTAGGGCAGAGAAGGCATGGGCCCTGCACTCTCTGATTCTGCTTTGTTGAAGAGTCAGCAACTTGGAGCATGAGACTGCCTTTCTGCCTTCTACACCCCTGTGCCAGGGAATTGAAGCCAGGGTAGAAAGCACTGGGAATTTTGCATGAAGCTTTATTTGATTGGAATAAGAGACTGGAGACAGAGGACCACCCAGTCTGTCCCCAGGCCTTAGGGGCCCCACGCCTCTTCGTCCTCCTAGTGATGGTCACGACATCAGTGTCTTCCCTCTGCGTGCGTGAGGAGTCCCAGGGAGGAGCCTGCAGGGGCAGGTGAGAGGTGTATCCCCCTGTTCATGTTTCCTGCAGTGCGGCTGTAAGAACTGTGGCCGGGCCTTCTGTTCTGGCTGCCTCAGCTTCAGTGCAGTGGTGCGCCGAGCTGGGAACACCCAGCACAAAGTCTGCAAGCAGTGCCACGAGGTCCTCACCAGGTGAGAGGCAGGATGGCCAGAGTCCAGCCAAGCATGGCAGTGGGCAGCTGGCAGCGCTGGCAGCCTTATGCTCTATGACCAGGGTTCAGCTCAGGAAATTGGGTGTGGGGCAGGGAAAGGCATTGCCTGGCAGGGTGGCAGAACTTCTGACACTAGGTTTCTTCCCTATAGAGGGTCCGCTCCTGCCAACACCTCCAAGTGGTCACCACCTCAGAACTATAAGAAGTAAGTGCTGAAGGGAAAGAGACAAACGGGGTTGGGCAGTGAACAAAAGAGCTATCAGGGTAGGACTGTCCTCCCAGCTTCTAGATCAGATGAGCTCAGGGTCAGGAGAATCCCCCTCTTAGGCTCCTGACTTCCCTCTCAGGCTTAGAAAGCAGCTCGCCAGCCCTCTCACCAGAAAAGGCGCTTGGGAGGCCTTGCCCTCTCTGCTGAAGCTGGCGGCATGAGCAAGGGCCACAGGATTTCCCATTGGAGACCCCCTGACCAAATGCCCAGCAACGATTTGAATGGGAAATAGGAAGTGGTCAGCTTCGTCCCTACCTGCTGCCTTCCTCACGAGCCTCCGTCTCATGTCTGGCCAGACGCATGGCAGCTTTGGAAGCCAAGCAGAAGCCCAGCACTCCCCGGAGCCAGGGACTGACCCAACAAGACCAGGTCATTGCGGAGCGCCTGGCACGGCTCCGCCAGGAGAAGAAACCCAGTGAGTGGGGGCGGGCAGGGCGGCCTGACGGGCACTGCCAGAGGCTCCTGGGACTGGGATCCCTCTGGCCTCACCGGGCGCCCTCCCATGCCGATTGCAGAGTCAGTGCCCTCACAGGCGGAGATAGAAGCCCGGCTGGCTGCGCTGAGGGACGAACCCCAGGGTTCCATCCCTTCCACCCAGGAGATGGAGGCACGGCTTGCCACATTGCAGGGCAGAGCTCTGCCCTCTCACACCCCCCAGCCGGTGAGTGCCATGGTTTGGGCGGGAAGGAGGTCCCAGGGAGAGGGCCTGGCAGAAGCCCAGATGCATGTTTGGACGTGCACTTTGCAGAGTTGGCAAAGCCTCCCACCCCACCCTTGATCCTCAGGTCTGCTGCCAGGCCAGGGAACCAGGGGTAAGCAGCAGGGTTGGGTGGGGCAGGAAAAGGTGGTCCCTCAGTCCTGTCGGCCCTGCCAGACCCACTAGGTTATATGGGCCCTGAATTAATCCCCTGTTCCTGGGTGGCACAGATTGTTAAGTACTCAGCTACTAACCAAAACGTTGATGGTTCAAATCCACCCAGAGGCACCTTGGAAGGAAGGCCTGGCAATGTACTTCTGAAAGATCACAGCCATTGAAAACCCTGTAGAGTGCAGTTCTACTCTGACACATGGGGTCACAGTGAGTTGGAATCAACCCGAGGGTCACTGGTACTGGTACTGGTACTGGTACTGATACTCCTTGGGCTGTGAGAACTCCTTAGCATTTACCCCTAACCCAGACTCCTTCTAGGCCTTATGGTGTGGCGTCCCCTCCCCACACACTGAGGTTCCCTCCTCTGGCCAGGTCCATCAGCCACTGGACACCAGGACCCAGCCCCAGCAGGCACAGGATCTGCTGACACAGCTGGCAGCAGAAGTGGCTATTGATGAGAGCTGGGAACGAAGAGGCCCAGGTAACCCCTCCACCTGGCTCCCCTAGGGACCTGCCCCACCTCTTTCCCCCGGTGGAGGGGGCTCTGCTGCTCAGCCTCGGGAGATGAATGTAAATCAGAGAACAGCCAATATAAGAGCTACCGTGTATTGAGCACTTCCTCCAGAGGGAGCAAGCGTAAGCCTAGTGGTTAAGTCCGTGAGCTTTAGAATCAGTGAGTCTGGTTCCGCTACTTACTGGCTATACGACCTTGGACTAGACAGCAAGGTCACACAGCTACTAAGTGGTAGAGCCTTGAAACCAAGGTTGTCTGACTTCGAACCTGCTTGTTCTGAAACTAAGCTAAAGGTGACCATGTCAGAACCACATCATCCACTTTGGTAAAATCCTTCCCACCTGGTGATATACAAGACCTAGGCTTCCCTCCTGCCCTGTCCATGCTGCACCTGGGAAATGCTAATCCCAGCCCTGAAAGGCAGAGACTGGCTGAACCTCAGCTTCCTGCTACCCCATATCCTGATCCTTTCCTTTAGGCCACGGATTCTCAAATTGTGGGACATCTTCCAGAAGAACCAACATATTAAAATATCAGGAGGGTAGGGATGGGTGTGGCTGGAAAAAGCATGTCCAAGATTATTAGTATTTTACATTTAGAAAAATGGAGGAAATACTAATTTTATTTATAACCTAAACTGCAGGAGCTAGTGCTTGAACAGAAAGCTGATGATCTATGGTTTAAAAAAGTTGAGAAATGGGCTCCGTGGCTTCTGATGAAAGATCTGGAATGTCTCTGCCTCCGTCACTTTCAGCTGCCTCTGTCCAGAACGACCTCAACCAAGGTGGCTCAGGGGCCCGGAGCGCTAATCCGCAGGGGCAGGCCGCCATGTCCCTGGAGGAGGAGAAGAGCAGGCTGCTGGCGGAGGCAGCAGTGGCGCTGCAGGAGGAGAACACAAGGCAGGAGCGGATCCTGGCCCTCGCCAGGCGGCTGGCTGTACTGCGAGGACTGAACCCGGAAGGAGGTAGAGCCTGGGGGCCGCCGCTCACTGTGTTCATCGGGCAGGGGAATCCTCAGTCCCTTCGGTCCTGAGACTTCCGTTCCTGCCTGCCAGCCCCCAGCCCTTATACTTCAGCAATGGCCCAGCCCTGCAGGGGTGGCGCAGAGGCTGCACAGCTCTGATGCAAGTGCTGCTGGGAACCAGACAGCTCCCTCCGTACTGGTGAAGTGGCAGAGTACAGCCCCTCAGGGGCTCACTCTTTCTCCTGCGTCCATCTCTCTCTCTTTCCAAGTGACCCTCCAGGACTATCGCCTCCCAGACAGCGATGATGACGAAGATGAGGAGACAGCTATCCAGAGAGTCCTGCAGCAGGTGGGCCCTGCCGCACCCCCAGACCAGCCCTCATCCCCTCTGCCTCATTGCCCCACCAATCCACCTGGCCCCGCTCACCCTGTCACTGCTCTGGGGCTGGACGGGCAGCCCCCGTTCTGGCTGGGGCCCCACTGCTCCTGTGACCCCAGCTGCTCCCAGTCCCTTAAGATGGGGAATCGGCAGCCAAAGGCAGGTAAAGGAAGATGAGCTGAGAAGCTGAGGCCACAGCACAGAAATGCCAGGAGGGGTGCCTGGGGCTGGAGCAGGGAGGTGGACCTTGTCACCCTGTCCACAGCTCACTGAAGAAGCTGCCCTGGAGGAGGCAAGCGGCTTCAACATCCCTGCAGAGCCAGCTCCCCGACCACGGGCCCAACCCCACATGACAGAGCCCGAGGTGAGAAGGGCCCCAGACACAGACCTGGGAGCCATCGGCCAAGCCTTCCCCCTGCCTGGCCAACTGCTCCCTCGTTCCCCTTCCTCGTCCCTGCCCCCTGCAGGCCGCAGCCCCTAGGCCGGAGGCAGAGGCGGAGGAGGAACTGCCGTGGTGCTGTATCTGCAATGAGGATGCTGCCCTGCGCTGCGCTGGCTGCGACGGTGATCTCTACTGTGCCCGCTGCTTCCGGTGGGTGCAGGCAGAGTGCTCTGTGGGACTGGGAGGGCCCGCGACTGGCTGGGAGATCGCTGAAATCCATTCTTTCCTCCACAGGGAGGGCCATGACGCCTTCGAGCTTAAAGAGCACCAGACGTATGTGTACCGCCCACCACAAGCAGGCCGAGAGCACTGAGGAAACCCTGGCCCACCCAGGAAGGGAGGCCTACAGGCAGCCCCACAGGCTGGGCCCCCACCGCTGGGCCCATCGGCAGGTTCTCCTGCTGACAGGCATGCCCTTTCCCGAGCCTTGGTGTTCTCGGAAGGAGGAAAGATCCTCCCCTGGAGACAATGAGCGGAGGAACCAGAAGGATAGCCACTGGGAGCCCTAAAGCAGAGAAGCCTAGGCTGGAAGTGAGAGGCATGATGGGGAAAGGACCAGACTGAATCCAAGGATGAGCCCTGAAACCTGGCTCGGGCCCAGGGCCCATCCCTGGCACTTACTGGATTTAATAAAGTATGTTGATTCCTTGGACCCGGCATCTCTTATCTCTTGAACCTTGTGAGCCCTGAGTCTGGGCCCTGTGAAAGGCAGCAAGAGCAGAGTAGGCTACAAGCCCAGTCCTGTGGGGCCAGGGGAAAGGTTAAGCTATCCTGGAAGCTCCTCCAGGAAGGAGCAGTCCCACCCTGATCAGGTGGCCTCATCTGGTAGATGTGAACATTTATTCCACTGAACTGGACTGTGCCTCATGCTCTGGGCAGCCCAGCTTAGCCACCAGGCCCCACATCTTGGATTTCTCAGCCCCTCCAGTATTCAAACAAGGCGTGCAAGAAATTTGTGGGTCTAAATGGGGCAGGCCCAGCTTGCTGCTTTACTCCCAGAGGACCCCATCTCCCAGGGCACGTGCCCCGAACTGGCTGCCATCCAGATCCAGTGTCTACCTTCCAGCAACTCTCCCCCTCCCGACCTCTGGCCTCAGCCTGTACCCCTTACACTCCTCTACATAGCCTCTGCTTTTCTCTTCCTGTTTCTGGCTGGAGCCAGCTCAAGAAAGAGCCCAAGACTTGAGGCCTCCTGCCTCATTTGGAGGTAAAGGAGGGTTTAGCCTTCAGTGATGCTCCCAAGCCCAGGTAGGTCTTTCCTGTTAACTCCCCTCTGGGATTTGAAACTAGCCTTTACCACTTGGGGCCTTCCTGTTAGCGATGCCCAAATGCTGAGTGTCTTAACCAGGTGTGCTTGGCTTGGCCTCTGGCCCTTGCTAGCTCTCTGAAGCAGCGCTGTGACATTTATCTTTGAATTCTCAAGGCCTGTTTGGATGAATGAATCGAGTAAATGAGATATGCAGTGACTCAGAATATTGGCCTTCCAGTGTATCACTTCACCCTCCCCTCCCCCTGTCCCCTGGCACAGATTCGCTCCACACTCCATTCAACTGGGCTCCTAAACGTTTTGTCCACTTAGCTGCTGCCAGGGAAATCACTGGGCAACAGCATGTCTGGCTCCCAGAAAGCCCAGCAGACAGGAACTAGCTGTGACTGCACATCCACTAGGAGTGTCCAGATGTCCCTCCTTGTCGGCCACGTTCCTTGTCTGTGTCCCGAGGAGGCCTCTCCACAGCCCGGGATCCAGGTGCTCAGGGCAGGCCTGGGCAGTGCTGAGGCTCACGCAGGTAGTGTCACAAGGCTTTTTTGTGAGGCCTGCTGAGTCTCTGGAGTTTCTTGAGTTGACTGAGTAGCTCTGAGATAAAGAACTGATAGAGAAACACGCAGATCAAGACATGGGATTACACCCATTCACCACCCTGCCCTCCGTAATTTCCCCTGACCCCATTTCTCCAGAACTGGGGAAGGGGATAAAGACCCCGGGCCAAGTCTTCCTTTCAAATACTCCTTTTCCATAGCTGCCTCCCTCACTGGCCTCCTCTTAACCCAGACCAGCACAGCACCACTTACCTCTGTGGGGCGGGGGCAGTTTTGGAGAATGGCCTGGATGGAAGAGAACAGAGAGTCACCAAGAGAACAGTGGGTCACCAAGTCATAGCCCTGCTCAGACCCCCAGGAATTCTCTCCCCTCTGAACTGGTTCTCCCCACGCCACCTAAGGAGACGAACCTAGGTTCTTGGGTTCCCCTTGGTCCAAGCCCATCTCCAACCCCTCACCACGTGGGCCTGGGTCCCAGGCCCCCCTCCAACCTCCAAATGAGTCTTCTGCTCCTCTGTGGATAGCTCCATAAGAGTCTCCAGGTCAATCTCAGGCTCAGAAGGGGCTGGTTGATCCTGTTTAGGAAGCACACGGGGCGCAGAGCCATGGCCAGCTGGTATTAGAGTTACCAGCCAGGGGCTCACCCACCTTCCATCCTGTCTTCCTCCTATTTCTCAAGTTCGATCCCTCTCCCCACCTTACTCAAAACACCCATTCATTCTTCCATTCAATAAATATTTCCTGAACACCTACTATGTTCCACCTGAAATGGTGCTAGGGTTCTTTGAAAAAAGTCGTTTAATTTCAAAACTTACTATATGCATTGCTGGTGAAATGTAAAATGGTGCAGCTGCTTTGGAAAAACAGTTCCTCAAAATGTTATCATATGACCCAGCAATTCCATTCCTAGGTCCATACCCAAGAGAAATTCAATTATACATCCACAAAAAAACTTGCAGAGAAATGTCCATAGCAGAATTATTCATAATAGCCAAAAAGTGGAAACAACCCAAATGGCCATCAACTGATGAACATAATAAAATCTGGTATAGCTATGCTGTTGTTATTGTTAGTTGCCCTCAAGCTGATTCTGACTCACAGTGACCCCATGTGCGCAAAGGAGAACTTTTCTATAGGGTTTTCAAGGCTATGACCTTTCAGAAGCAGATTGCCAGGCCTGTCTTCTGAAGCGTCTCTGGTGGGTTCAAACTATCAACATTTTCACTTGAAGTCAAGCTCTTAACCGTTTGCCCCACCCAGGGACTCCGGTAGAGCCATACAGTGAAGTGAACATTATTCAGCAATAAAAATGAATGAAGTACTGATATATACTACAATATAAATGAACCTTGAAAAGATTATGGTATTGAAAGAAGCCAGTCACAAAACATCACATTTTGTATGAGTCCTTTTCTATGAAATATCCAGAACAGGCATATCTGTAGAGACAGAAAGTAGATGAGTGGTTGCCAGGGGCTGGGAGAGTGGTGGCAGTGGGGGATGGACTATGACTACTAATGGATATGGGGTTTCTTTTTGGGGGGATGGTTGCACAACCCTGTGAATGTCTAAAAATCATTGAATTGTATGATTTAAATGGGTGACTTGTACGGTTTGTAAATTATATCTCAATAAAGCTATTTTTAAAAGTTATTATGTCATTGAAGAAAAGTTAAACAATACAGAGTTTATAAAATTAAACTTAAAGCCCCGTCTGCCCTCCCTCACTCCTTCCACTGTTAACAGTTTTGATTTGCATTTCCCTAATGACAAATGGGGGCCCTGGCGGTGCAGAGGTTAAGCATTCAGCTGCTAACCAAAAGGTCAGCAGTCCGAATTGATCAGCCACTCCTTGGAAACCCTAAGGGGCGGTTCTACTCTGTCCTATAAGGTCTCTGAGTTGGAATTGACTTGATGGCAAGGGGTTTGGGTTTTAATGACAAATGATGTTGAGTGTCTCTGCATGTTCTTGCTTATTGGCCATTTGTATATCTTCTTTGGAGAAACGTCTATTCAAGTCCTTTCTGATTTTTTGATTGGGTTGTTTGTCTTGTTGAGTTGTAGGAGTTATTTATATACTTTAGATATTAAATCCTTATCAGATATATGATATCCAAATATTTTCTCCCATTCTGTGGGTTATCTTTTGACTTTCTTGAAAATGTCCCAAAAATGCACAAAGATTTTTATTTCGATAAAGTCCAATTTATCTGTTTTTTCTTTTGTTGCTTGTGCTTTTGGTGTCATATCTAAGAGTTCATTGCCAAATACAAAGTCCTGAAGATTTACTCCTATGTTTTCCTCAAAGAGTTTTCTGGTTTTAGCCCTTATATTTAGGTCACTGATCCATCTTTAGTTAATTTTCATATATGATGTGAGGTGGGGGAATAGAGATCAGATTTACCCTCCTAACATAAGTAACCAGAAAACTGGACAAAATGTATGAACAAAGTTTTCAGACACTGGACAACAGGTAAGTCAGGACTAATCCCAGAGGGAAGGGAAACAAAAAAGATAAACTCCATAATTGCCCTGGATTTCTTTCTGGAGGCAATTTTCCAGACCACTGAACAGAGAGAGACATCCCAAGCAGAACACAGTGGTCTTGCTAAACTGATGTGACAGAGACCAGAATTCAGGGAGGCTGAACTGGAATTTGCTGGGCAAAGGATCTGCATAGTTTCCCTTGAGTCTTTGCTGAAAAGTAAGATGCACAGGCATGCGGTAAAACTTCATAAGGCCAGGCAAAGAGAAATAGAGGCACTGAGCTGAACAATTCCCAGAACTCACCCAGGATTGGGAGATATTCAAGTTCCAACCAGCTAGAGTACAGAACATCACTGATCACACAGGAATTCAGTAGAGACGTCAGAAAGGCCATGCTTTAGTAGTGAGGTAAATTATTCCCTAGATTAAATGTTATTCTAGACTCACCCTAATGAAGCTTAAAAGCAAGCCTCAGAGGTCTCAAGCCGAATCACGAGTAACTTAACTGCCTACTACAACAAAGCCCAACACTCTTTAAGGGAAGAAACAAAATCCAGTTACTGAACAACATAAAATTCACAATGTCCAATATCCAACTAAAAATCATGCCAAGAAGAAAGAAAAAGGGACCCATAAGCATGAAAAGAATCAGTCAATAGAAACAGATCCAGAGATGACAGAGATGATAGAATTAGCAGACAAGGAAAACATGAACATAGTTAGGAGAGAAATTGAAGACATAAGAACAAAATTGAGCATCTAGAAATGAAAAATACAGTATTTTAAATGAAAAATTTACCGAATGGAATAGCAGATGAGATACTGCAGAGGAAAAGATCAGCTGAACTTAAAGACATAGCAAAAGAAATTAACCAAATGAATCACAGAAAGAAAAAAAACTTGAGGGGTGGGGGAGCAGAATAGAGCCTTGGTGACCTATGGGACCACATCAAGCAGTCTAACATAATTATAATTGGAATCCCAGAAGTTGGAGGGCGCATAAAAATAAACATACGTTCTAATTATTAGAACTCCACTTCTAAAAATGTACCAGCCCTTCCCCCAAAATTATGTCATTTATGATATTAAATATATACATGTCAAGTGGAAGGTATGTATATTACTGACAGTAAGATTGCCACTACAGTCTGGAGTTGAAAATATGGGCTCATATCATAGTCCAAATATTCTTTTCCTCAAATATTTTTTGTTTATTTTTCCCTCAAGTATCTTTTACTTCTAGAAAAATATCAGATCATTTGAGATGTGAATTCTCAGAAAACGAGGGGACAATACTTTTTCAAAGTTCAAAGTTTAATACGTTGTCGCTTATAAGCATTTTAAAGATGTCACCATATCAAGAAGTTTGCATCAAAATGCCAGCTGCCACCTAGAAAAAGATAGTGTCATGGAAGCTACAGGAAAAGAATGTTTCAAGACTCTTGGGGGATCACCAGTGTTTCCTGCTGATGTGCACATTAGATTTAGCTCCAGAACAGTCCTTGGCAAGAATTCACAATAGAATGGTGGGAACAGAAGCCAGATTTCAGTGGTTTGACGGGTGACAGGAAGAGAAAAATAAGTACAGGCTGTGAGTGTAGACAAATCCTTTAAGGAGTCTGGCTGTAAAGGAAAACAAGAAATAGGGAGTAGTAACTAGAGGGTGCCATACTGTTGAGCAAGGGTCTCCTAAAAATAGGATAGAGACTCTTGGGTGTTTAAGTTCCTGCTTATAAACCAAATCCACATTCCATCTGTGGACAACAGAAGCTCCAGAGCTCTAAGTCTGTTTGTAGTCCCCAGACTTGGCTCCTCTGAGGACCCCAAACCAGGCTGCACACTCAGGTGGGGCCCTCCAACAAGGGACAACTGGGTCCCATTAAACTAAACTAAACCAAGTGAAAAGCAGCATCCTGGGGCCATTCCCAGTGGTGTCAGACAAGGTGAGCGTATGGGTAGGCCCTGGTGGGTGGGGAAGGGCTCTATGGAGCTAGAACCAGAGTCGCGTAAGGTTGAAGACTGCATTGGCCTTGGCCTGTAACCAAGATGCCCAGCCACCTGGCACCTTTGGACAATTGCCATGGCAACCACAGGCCTGGCCTTTTATTCCGGTCATTGCCTGGGAGTGGTCCTCCCACGTGTCCTGTTTTCCGGTGTTACTGCCTCATTACTGTATGGCTTTCCCATCTGGCCTTAATCTTGCAAAACAAGGTTCTTCGGCAACTGTCTGATACCTAAAAGGATTTTCCCAGAGGTGTCTGAAATATGAGATTTGTCATGCAAGTGCACAAGAATTTGAAATTGAAACTAGTTCTGTGAAGAGAGAGAGAGGGTGCTGGAAATACTAAAGGGCAGTGTGGTGGTGTCCTGCCAGGTCAGAGCAGACACAGGCCTAGGAAACGTGCCTCTTCTGCTCCCAGCTCCAAAGAGAAAATACATGACTTGAGTCAAGAAGGAGGAGAAACAAAGACCATGTGTTGTGGACAAGCGGGGACTCCTGGTATATTCCCCACCCACATGTCAGAATCAACTGTGGAGCTTGTAAAAGAAATCAATGCCTGCCCCCTCCCCCATAAAATTTAGATTCAGTTGAGGTGAAGCGGGGGCATTTGTATTTTTTTAAGTGCTTCAGGGGTGGTGAACCACTGGATGCATGAATAAACATTCAGGCTCTGCAGCCAAAGCCCCCGGCTTCAGCTCCCGGTCCCACCGCTTCCTAGTTATGTGACCTTGAGCAAGATACTCAACATCTCCAAGTCACGTTTTCTCAGCTGATGGACCTATGGGGAAGATTCAATGAACTAATGCATGTCAAGTCTTGGAGTTGTGCCTAGCACAGAGTTAAGTGCTCAAAATGCTATTCTTGTTCTTGAAGTGGTGGGTGTTACTGCCTTAGGAGCCAGACTCAGAGGTATCTAAGTAAGAAAGTGCCACTTTCCGAGACAAAGGGCCAAGACCTGCTTTTTCTCAAGGTGGGAAGGCAGGGGTCAGTCAGAGCCAAGGTCAAGGCTAGGTTAGGTCCTGGTATTAGCACCCACCTTTAGTTACTCTGAGTCCCTGGGTGGCACAAATGGTTTGCATTCCACTAACCAAAACTTTGGCAGTTTGAACCCACCCACCGAGCTGCACCATGGAAGAAAGGCATGGCAATCTGCTTCTATTAAGATTACAGTCAAGAAAACCCTATGGAGTTCAGTTCTGCTTTGGGATCACTGTGCGTTGGAACAGACTCAGCGGCAATGAATTTGGTTTTTCGGTACAGCCAGAATGCTCATTAGAAGTGATGATGGCGGTCTTCTTCTCACATACTTTGGACGTGTTATCAGGAGGGACCACTCCCTGGAGAAGTACATCATTCTTGGTAGAGCAACCCTACAGGACAGAGTAGAACTGCCCCATAGGGTTTCCAAGGAGCAGCTGGTGGATACGAACTGCCGACCTTTTGGTTAACACCAAGCTCTTAACCACTACACCACCAGGGTTTCCTGGTAGCGTAGAGGGTCAGTGAAAAAGAGGAAGACCCTCAACGAGATGGACTGACACAGTGGCTGCAACAATGGGCTCAAGCATAACAACAATTGTGAGGATGGCGCAGGACTGGGCAGTGTTTCGTTCTATTGCACATAAGCTTGCCATGAGTCAGAACTGACTCGAGGACACCTAACAACAACAGTCGAGTCCAGCCCTGTCCCCCTGTCCTTTCTGAGGTGATGGAAATGTCTGTATCTGTGCTGACAGTCTGGTTAGCCACTAGCCATCTGGGGATACGGAGTACTTGAAATGTGGCTAATGTGACCGAAGAACTGAATTTTTAATTTTAATTAAAGTTGAATAGTTACACATGGCTGGTAGCTGTCATATTGGACAGCGCAGCTGTAGACATGTATGTGTGCTGAGGTTGGGAGTAAGTAAAAACAGAAAATAAAGAAAAATAGCCTGACCTTTTATACTTTTCAAAGCACTTTCCCTTCTACTATCTCACTTAAGCCTCAAAAAGTTCTCTGACAGAGATGACAGGCATTGATAGCCCCATTTTTCAGGTTAGGAAACTAAGTCTCAGGGATATTAAAAGACCTATCCCAGATCATAAATGAGAGTTAAGAGGCTGAGCCAGGACCAGAGGGAGGCAGATTTCTGGACTCCAAACCCATGCTTCTTCTATTAGGAAAAGCTTTATCTCCACGGGAGCATCTTGCATCAGCCCTCCAGTTCCTCTGAGGCCTCCATGCAGGCTCTCTCCCAGCCCCTGGCTAGCCCCAAGTCCCCTATCTTCTCCCACCCTCCATCCTGCTACTCACCTGGAAGAGCTCCTGAACCTGCACGTCCACCCACTCCTCCACCTCCAGCCAGCGCTGGAGCTGTCCCCGGTCATACTTCACTGTCAGCCGGCTGGGTCTCCGGGACCTGGGCACTCTGGAGAGGTCGGGGTGGGGCTTTGACTCTGAGTCTGTGGATGATGTCCTCCTCCTCCCAGGAGCCCACTGGACCTTCTTACTTGGGTTCTCCCCATCTGGGTTGGGAGACGTACAGGAAGGAGGGCTTGAAGACAGCATGGAAGGGCTGGCCTGGGCAAGAAGCTGGCAAAAATCACCAGTCAGGCAAGGGCACAGAGGGAAGTGAGGAAGTAGAGAACAGAGGGAAAGGTCAGCAGGGAAGGAAGCAGCAAGGGAGGGACAAGGCGCCCTGGGAGGGGCAGCAGTCAAAGAGCAACAGGCCCTTGGGCTGAGAATGCCAGTCTCCGGGCCTCCTTGCTGCCAGTGAGTGGCACTCCAGAGCTGTGCGTGAGCCTCCCTTTCTGCAGCTGCTGGGCCCAAAGTGATATAAACTGCAACTGAGCAAAGGTCAAGAGGGTGCCATGCCCTGGGAGGAGGAAGGGGCCCTGGGTCCTGGGGGATGCAGAGCTCCAACTGGTGCTCTATGGCCGGCGCTGGAACAGGACCTGAGTCACACTCACCTGAGATCCTCTGCATCCCACCTTCCTGGGACCAGATCCACTCTGGAAGCCAGACAGGTCAGACAGCTCCTTCCAGAGTGTGGCACTGCTGGGGGCAGAATCTCGGGCTGGGGGATGGGGTGGGAGGGATAATTATCTCTGGCCCTCATGGGGCCAGTGCTCCCTTGTGTCTGAATGTAACCTGCCTTTAGGAGTATGTGAAGGAATAGTCTCCTCTGTCTGCCTGGCCCTGTGTGCTTGTCTACCATGCCCATTCCCCAGAGGGAAGTGCTTAGGCGGCCAATTTTGCATCATATGACACTCCCCTGCTTAGGAAGCCATGTTTTATATCACATGACCCTCCCCGATTCAGGTTCTTCCAGACAGTGGACAAGGAAAACCCGCAGACCTAACTTATACCAAGTATAACACTTTCAGACATACTTGCATTCTAAAGAACAAGTATTTTCATTGGTTTAGTCCTTTCTAAACCTTTTTTTAAAAGTTACAGAACAAAAAAACAACTAATTTTTAAGAAGAAGAAGACTTCAAAGGTCAAACAAATGAAAAGTGAAAGTTTCTCTCCTCTCGCCAGCTGTCTCCAGAGGCAACCACCATCAACAGCTTCTGTTTTTCATTTTCCTGTGATCATCATCCCTTTATGTCGTATCTTTCTTAATTTGTTGATTTTAGATAATATCTCTTGTCTACTCAATATGAAGTATGAGAAATTAACTCACACTAACTGTCACATCCCCTTTACTTCCACATTGGAGTGCGATAGATTGCTTTTGTGTGGTCTTTCTCCCCATGGTCTTGTAACTCCCACCCAATCATTTGCAAATAGGGTAATTGTGGCCCACCAAGGGGATTGGTCAGTTTTGCCATCCTGTTGAGCTTGAAATGAGCCATCTCAGAGGCTGGAAAAAGAGAATCCCACCACCACCAAGGAAGGAGAGCCAAGAGCAGAGTGTGTCCTTTGGACCCAGGATCCCTTGCACTGAGAAGCTCTTGGAACCAGGAGACCAAAAGAGAGAGAGAGCTGTAACACAAGATGGACTGAAGTGGTGGCACAGAAACAGTGGTAGGAGAGACTGGCAGCAGAGACCAACAAGAGACAGTGCAGAGGGCTTCCCGGTCCATGGAGCAAGAAAGCTGAGTGTATTTGGGCAAAGTTTACTGGCAGAGTGGAGTGCCTCCGAGCACTTATCTGCAGAGCTAAAAGAGCTTTGAAACACTTGCCTAAGCAGGGCAAAGGCCAAGAGCCATAGAAAGGCTTGTGCAGCTGCGAAGAGGTTGTCTTGATGGAAGAACTATATCCTGAGCATTCTTGAACCTGAGTTGTAATAATAAACCCCATAATCGTGAGTATGGTCTCTGAGTTCTGTGTGGCCATTGCAGTGAATTATCGAACCCAGCAGAGAAGTGAGAGTGCCATGGGAGGGACAGTTGGTGTCAGAATTGATAAAGATGGCAGAGAGAGGAGGCATGTCTGACCTCCACCTCGTAGGAATCAGCCTTGGGCTTTTGATCTTCATTCTCCTTCCCCCTTGTGAAGTTATAAGAGGTCAAACTCCATTCTCATGCCATTTTTACAGTTGGTGTCAGAAATGGGATTCTCTGCAATGGCTCCAGACTCATGAAAGCATGGGACTTTGTAAGAGAAAGAACGAAGGGGCTTGGAAAGTGAAACCGTTAGACAGTTACTTTGGTTGTTGTTACCTGTAATGGCTGAAAAGCCATATCTGGAGTGGCCTGGGCAAAAGCCAGGCCAGATAAGCAGGATGATTGATAGAGGTCCAGGGTCTACTGGTTCCACACAGCCAGAGGTCCAAGGCCATATGCATATGAATGGGAAGATAGTTAACATGTGGAGAATAGAAGATGAAACTGGAATATTTTTTAAAAGAGTAATGTGTTTATCTGAGTGTACTATGGATATTGAATCGTTTCCCTACCTAGTGTTGTAAAGCAGAACTAAATGTACGGTAGGAATGAATACTGGATATTACAGATTACAGACAGCATGTAACTCTACCTTTGGCCAACACTTGATTGGATGTACTAAAACAGGAACTAGAATTTGCCCAAAGGAACAGACTATTTGAATGCAGGAGCCCTGTGTATACCTGAGCCCCACTGCAACCCTTCAGAGTCATGAAATCTGCATTTGAAAAGACATGCAGACCTACCCAGAACTGCTGAGAGAACAGGAGATTTGCATTTGAAGGAAGGACCTGCAGGAAAAAAGTGACTGTTTTGCGTTTTGAATTTCGAGCAATAAGTGGTTTGCTGTTGGATGCACTAAGGCAGGAAAAGTCAGTGCCCATCAGAAGGAACCCCCTTTCAGGACTGGAAATTAAAGGGAGCTGATGAGTAGAGAGCTTGGTATGCTCGCCTGTGGTGACCTCCTGGGTCCACTCGTGAGTGGAAGTGAGGGAAATGCAGCAATGAATAGATGGGCTAAGTTTGGATATGTTCCATTGGCACCCACTGACCCAGCCTATGGGGGCTAGGGATAAGAGGGAGAGGGGAAGGGCTGGCTGATCAGAAGTAAAGCGAGTTGTGTTTATGGGTGGAACCTGCTGACTTAGCCAAAGGGGACAGGGATGAGAGAGTGCGAAGGGGGCTGTCTGAAGTGCTGGGAGGTGTGTATGAACTCTCCAGCCTAAGGCTGCTACCCATTGTGACCTAGCCTGCATAGCTAGGGATGAGCTGACCAGAACCCGACCAAATGAAGAGAAAGATGTTTGACACCATGAGCTGGTGTAGATTGCTGCAATCTGATGGCTTGCTCTGGACTGGACTTTGCTTGTGGATGCAGACGCTCAAAGTTCCAACCAGAACAGAAGATTCTTCAAGACCAAGGTACACGCTTGTCTCCTCAGAGTACTGGTTTGACAGGAACACGCAATTTAAACATTGGCTATCTAAAATGGGTGGAGATAAAGGGATGAAGTGGCTGGCTTACATGATTTCATGAGTGTGCTTATGTTAAATGAGGGGGACAAGAAAGGATCTCCACTGAACAGATTCCTCTTTTCCTGATGGGTCTGGGGAAGAGAGGGTGGGAGGAGGTGTTAGCAGGATTATATAATTCAGTTGTTAAGTGTTGATTGTTGACAGGCTTTATTGTAGTTGTAAAAAATGTAATTATAGAAGCCGTAAGTATGAAAGAGTTCACTGAAGGGGAGGCACTGTTGGACTCAAGTACAGTGACCGAACCTGAAGTCCCTGAAAGGTTTTGCTATGCTGATACCTCGTGAAGCTCAGAGCAAGGGAATAACCTTCTCTCAGGTACATTTTATCAGATACCAGGAAGGGTGAAGCCGAGATGACTTTTGGAGAATCTGACCAGGTCAGATGGACGCCTGCAGTAGACCTGAATGGCTGGTACCTGAGTATTCTCACCATAAGGATTCTTTTGCCCTATTGAAGGACTCAGTGTTAATGACTGGTTTGTGCTGGTAAAATGATTGGGAGGGAGAAGTTATCCTCCAAGTATGAAAGAATCAGGGCTAGAAAAGCCAAGGGGTGGCCTGCGGTGTGATGTATCACTTTTGTGTGGCCTTTCTTGCCGTGGTCTTATAACTCCCACCCCAATGATTGGGTTGGACTGTGCAAATAGGGTAATTGTGGCCCACCAAGGGGATTGGTCAATTTTGCCATCCTGAAATGAGCCATCTCAGAGGCGGGGAAAAAAAGGATTCCACCACCACCAAGGAAGGAGAGCCAAGAGTGGAGTGTGTCCACTGAGAAGCTCCTGGAACCAGGAGACAGGGAGAGAGAGAGCTGTAACACAAGATGGCGAGAAGCGGTGGCACATAAACAGTGGCAGGAGAGACTGGCAGCAGAGACCAGCAGCAGACAGTGCAGAGGGCTTCCCGGACTATGGAGCAAGAAAGCTGAGGGTATTTGGGCCAAAGCTTACTGGCAGAGTGGAGTGCCTCTGGGTACTTGTCGGCAGAGCTAAAAGAGCTTTCAAACACTTCCCTGAGCAGGGTAGAGACCGAGGGCCAGGGAGAGGCTTGTGCAGCTGGGTAGAGGCTGTCCTGATGAAAGAACTGTATCTTGAGCATTCCTGAACCTGAACTGTAACTTGTTACTTCCTTAATAAACCCCATAATCGTAAGTATGGTCTGTGAGTTCTGTGTGGTCATTGCAATGAATTATTGAACCCAGCAGAAAAGTAGACAGTGCCGTGGGAGGGACAGTTGATATCAGAATTGATAAAGATGGTGGAGAGAGGATGCATGTCTGACCTCTACTTCATAGGAATCAGCCTTGGGCTGTTGATCTTCATTCTCCTTCCCCCTTGTGAAGTCAGAGGAGGTCACACTCTGCCCCCATGCCATTTTTACACACACACAGATTTTTTTTTTTTTGCTGTAGAAAGCAGCTTTATTATTTCCACTTGGTCCACGGCTTGGGAGAGGACTCCAGGGTGGTTTAAAAGCTGCCTCTTGGCTGCAGGGAGAGGATCAGGGAGAAGCCCAGATGCCAGGAGAATGCAGAAGGGCCCCTCAAAGGCCCCTGAGCTCTGGAGGCTTCTAGTCGTACTTGAGGGTGAGCTTTTCCAAGAGATACTTCCCAGGACACCCTAAGGGGGAGGGGTTGGTCAGGTGGGCACTGATCTTCTTGACGAAGTTCACCTCCTCATTTAGGAAATGGTTCTCCAGAAAGTCACAGAGATGGAGGTCTGTGCAGGTAGAACCCATGGCATGCATATCCAAAAGGGCCTGGTGCAAATTCTTCTCCAGGGCCATGGTGGCTTCCATGGCATCCAGGGTCCTACCCCATTCATCTTGGGCAGCTTCTCCATGTCCTGGAAGAGGGCATGGCATCACACTAGTTCTGCAACTTAGAGAGATGCCGGGTACCTTGCGCTTCTCCTTCGCCAACTCATGGAAGAAGTAGCCCACGCCACGTCACAGTCAAAATAGAAGCCCAGAGACAGGTAGATCTGGAGGCCTGCACATGCATATTAACCAGGCAGTTGACAACGGCCTCTATTTTGTTGGAATAATTCTGACAGATCTGGGAATTCATGGTTGGTCAACAATAAGAAAAACAAAACAAATAAAACATTGTTAAGTGGTCCCAGAAACA